TCAACTGTTGCCTAAACCCGCCAGGGCAGGCAGCGCTTGTTTTGAGCCTCTTAAACTGCGGCCTCAACCTTCCAGGCCAGGCGCAGCATGTTTTGAGCCTCTTAAGCTGCTGTCCAAACCCTCCAGGCCAAGCACAGCATGTTCTTGAGCCTCTAAAACTGCTGCCTAGACCCTGAGCGGCAGGCAGAGCATGTTTTCGGCCTCTTAAACTGCCAGCTCCTACAGGACAGGTCCCTGCAGGGGTTGCAGGGGCTCAAGCTTGCTGCCGGCCTGTAGGGACTTGCAGGGATTTGTTGCGGGGGCTGCCTGCAAAAGCTACAGGGGTGCTGTCGGGGGGCGGGCCTGCAGATTCGAAGAAACCGCAGAGTCCCCGGTCTGTATCGCGTGCTAAAAGGCAAGCTGCAGGGCGCAGCCTCCTTCTTGGAGCCTTAACACCAAGCGGTTTCGAAAACCTTGCAAAAGTGTCGTTTTTCCCTATGGCCGAGCTCATCGCCTATGGCCTAACCTATGGCCTAATGTATTTTCCGTATGGCCTAGCTCATTCTGCATTAAAAGAAGAGAAACTTCTTCTTTTTTTGCACCAGAATGAGTTCGGCCATAGGGAAAATACATTAGGGCATAGGTTAGGGCATAGGTTAGGCCATAGGTTAGGCCATAGGTTAGGCCATAGGCAATGAGTTAGGCCATTGGGAAAAACGACACTTTTCAAGCTTTCAAAGCCTCTGAAGGGCATTGAAGGCTCGTAGAAGTCTGAATCAGGCCATGGGCTTTGAATTAGGCCATAGGAAAAAACCGCAGCTTTTGGGGGTTGTAAGCCCTCAGAAGCGTATCAGGCTTCAAAATTGTACTCGAAGGACAACGGGGCTGCGAGGGGGCCTCCTTTTTCCTATGGCCTAACTCATCGCCTCTGGCCTAACATATCGCCTATCATGGTCTTATTTATTCCCTATGGGGCCCGGCCCTGGCCCTGCTGCTCTGGGGCCGGCGGACCCTTGGCCCTGGCTGTTGAAGGCCCAAACATGCCTCGATGAGGCCAGGAAAAAAACGAAGGCTTCAAGTTCTTGTGGGTCTGCAGGCAAGGTTCTCTGTGATTTTTCTGCAGCGCGAAGGCTCTGCAGGAGCGTGCGAGCATGGAGCCTTCTGTTGTGGATGGAGGGCTTGCGCTGCAGCAGCCATCTGCTGCCGATTTGCCCGACTCCCAGGCGCCTTCCCAGCAGGAGCAGCAGGACCACGCTGCTGACCAGCCAGACGAGCAGCTCGAGCGGCAGGTCCGGGCTGCCATAGCAGAACTCTTGCCTGGAGTGGACTTGCGCAGTCTCAGTCTCTACGACTTCCGCTGTTCTGTGTCCAGACACCTTGGTTGGGGCAGGAAAGGGCTTGAAGCTCACGCGCAGAGTGTGTCACTCTGGGTCAAAGAAGGGGTAGAAGCATCCGTCCAGAAGTCCCGCCAGTCTCCGCAGCAGTTGATTGACGCGGTGCTGAAAGAGCTCGGAAATGAGGACACTTCCAAAAAGCTTCGTGTGCACCTGCTGAATTTCTCCCGTTGCTGCCAGGGACTGAAAAGGCCGGCAGCCTGCGCAACGTGAGTGACCTGAGTCGTGAGGCCCTGGCCGACTGCGTGTGGAAAGCCGTTGACAACCCGTTGGCAGGTCTGACTGGTGGCAGACCCTGCTCACGCACAGAAGGCCTAGTTACCAAGCTTGTCGTCTTTCGGGAGTCGCACAAAGACGGAGACTACCACTTCCACGTAGCAGTCCAACTCCGTCAGTCTCGCGCCTTTGCTGCTGCGAAGAGAACGTTGCGCGAGAGGGACATGCTCGCAGCTCATTTCTCCTCTTCGCACACGCAGTTTTGGAGCGCCGTCCGGTACGGGTATATTCCAACGGCTTCCAAGCCAGTTGTGGACAACGCGCCTCTGTCATGGTCGGAGACTGGTGGCTGGGGTGCTCTCGATCTTCTCGACGAGTCACAGCGCCCTTGGGCCGCAGAGCTTTGGAAAAAACGACGCGAGGACTGGAGGTCAAAGTCTGTGATAGGGGAAGTAGGTCGTACGCCCCTAGACCTCAAGCAAGGCTTTTGCGTAGGACAGCATGCCGCCTTTTTTGGTGCCCTGACAGGCTTCGGAGAAGGCGGTCGCAGCAGGGCGTGCCAAGAAACAGCGGCGCTTCTGCAAGCTGGACTTGACAGCCATCATCCTGGACAAAGGCCTGACGTCCAAGGCAGCACTTCTGGCCTATGTTCAAGAAAATGGAACAGAGGAGATGCAGCAGTTTGTGCGCAGCAACCAGAAAAAACTAAAGGAGATCCTTGAGGAGGCCGCAGAGTGGGACCGGGCACGCTCAGATGCACGGATGGAAGCAGAGACAGATTGGGAGTTGGTGTGCCGATTCGCTGAGGCGACCTGCAGCCACTCGGGAGCGTGCTCGTACGCGCAGTCCGTGGCAACTTTCTTTGCTGCAAACGAGGCTTCCATTTGTCAACGCCATCTGGCCGAAGCTCTGCGGTCCATCATCTGCAGCGGTCCATCGAAGACGACCCGTGTGCCGCTGGTCACTGGTCCCACCAACTCCGGGAAGACCACGTTGTTCCTCCCCTTCGACGACCTGTTTGGATTCCATAAAGTCTTCCACAAGCCAGCGCTCGGCAGCAAGTTCGCTCTCTGGAACATCTTGCGCGACAAGCGCTTTCTTTTTTTCGATGACTTTCGTCCAGTGGAGTATGCGCAGGAGACATTGCCGGTGTCCGCGTTTCTAAGTCTCTTTCAAGGACAGCCGCTCGAGGCGCAGGTGTCGCAAGCCTTCAATGACGGAAACGTCGATTTCGAATGGCACCGCGGCTGCCTCATGACGGCGAAAGCAGACGGCTTGTGGACGCCGCTTGGTGCTGTGTCCCAGGAAGACATCCGGCACATGCAGTCTCGCGTAGTCGTTTCCCTGCCACAGCCACCATCCGGAGATTACGAGACACTGTGCCGGGTAAGCGCTGTGTCTGCCACTGGATCTGTGAATCTGCAAGGCAGCAGGATGCGGTGGCCGTTTTGGCGGCCCCAGTGCTGCGCGATGCTGCTGACGGGGACGTACTTGGCTTGGATGCCTTGGCCGAGCGGGCACGGGTCCCTCCAGCCAAGCTGGAGCTCCTGGCTTTGGGTGTGGCGCATGTCTGAGAGCTTACGACGGAGGACTGGAAGAGCTTAGCGTGCTGGCCAGCCTTCTTGCTGTTTGAACAGCGCCGTCTGCTCGCACAAGCACAAGACCTTGTGTAAAGTCATGCAGAAAGTCAATGCGCAACATATGGAAAAGAGTCTAGCTGCTTTGGAGGTCCGGGAATCTGCGCAGAAATCTGAGATGAAGCCGGTCGGGCTGGGTCCAAGAGGCAAGAGGAACCTCAAAGTAGCCGTCTGTGTCGGAGGGTGAGTTTTGTGGTCCACGCATCTGCGTCGGTCCAAGAGGGACCTCAAAGTAGCCGGTCTGTGTCGTGCCAAAAACGGGAGGGCAGAGCACAGCTGCGCACGCCTTCCAGTGGCCGGCAGCAAGCCCCTAAATTTCTGCAGGTCTTTGCAGGTCTCTTGCAGTTTGCAGCTCTTTGCGCTGCAGGTCTGCAGGCTGGATGTCTGTGAGGCTTCTTTTTCGGCGGTTTTTCTTTGCGGTGGGTCAAAACCCACCACCAAGCTTCTCCCCCGCACCCCCTCTATTTCAATGTTGGCGGTCGGCGTGACCCGGGATCCCCAGACCCGTTGACTGGGACTATGGGGCCTGATCACGCTCAGCTGGCTCCGGGATCCCCAGACCCGTTGACTGGGACTTTGGGGCCTGATCACGCTCAGCTGGCTCTCCAACATTGAAATTGGGGGCAAGGGGGGTGGGCGGGGCTGGAGGGGGTTGAGTTGGGTCCAGCGAACCAGTCCCTCGGAGGCTTTTTCTGGGCCTCGGGCTTGTGTTTGCGACTCAACCTGTCGTGGTCGCGGGCGGCTTTTGCAGCCTGGAATCCAGCCTCCGTCCGGCCGGTCCGCGTAGCAGTGTACCCTCATTGAATTGCTAAAATAATGTTGTAGAGAGTGATTTACGTATAGAATGACAGCGCCCCACATACAGCATTTCTCCCATTTCCCCAGTGTGCCTTCCATAAGCATGTCAAAAGAACATGGTAATGGTTAATTAGTTTGAAACAATGTTTGTCATAATTAATGAATTATGAGAAATATTGTAAAATAATATGATATGACAATATATGTTGAGAAGATAATCATGGATATTAGTACTGAGCATTACCCTCCCCATTGTGATCGGCAATGTGTTAGATGAAAGAAGTTGAAGAATTTAGTGCATTTCAAAAGATATTATCATTGTAAAACGGGTAAGTATTTAATGCAGTATAGAACCACGGTTACTTGCTGTGAATGCCTTGATGGAATGAAAGCATACAACGATAAAAGGAAACGTGAGGTAAAAACATAAGTTTAATGTAATCACATTTCATAAGAGTTTATGGAATGTAATTCTATTATGACTACAACCTTTGAAACTAAACCTAGTAAAATCTATGAGAGAACCCTTGCCCATTTTGGGATGATAATACCACCTTAGGGAATATGGATGGGGTAATCGGTTATTCCTATACTGGTCTTGGTAATGGGTTAGCAGTGTTGATATTTGTGGGAAGTGTTAGGAAGTATAGGAATATTCCTCTTATATGGATGAGGTAATCGGTTATTCCTATACTGCTATTGCAATCATTGGTAATGGGGTAGTAGTATTGATATAGTTGGTGAGGGGTAGGGGGGAGTATAGGAATAATCGTCTAATGGGTTGACTGGTGGTATTATTACCCAAAATGGGCAAGGGTTCTGCTAACTAACTCAGACACATTGCTTCTGGAGATCAGGTTCTCCAAACGATGGCGCCCTAACATATTCGGGGCCGCCCTTCGAAAAGCAGCCCCAAAATGGACCAGAATTTAGAGAAGTGATTTTCGGTCGTTCCAGCCATGACTTCCCTCGACAGGTCACCAATCTCCTGATCCCTGGATTCTTTGTGGGCAGGTGCCCAAGATGACCTCTACTTGGAGGGCCATTGGCGGTTTACAAGTAGGGTTATAAAAGTATGGCAGCTATACTTCCAACCCTATTTCGAGTACTTCTAACTCGTCTTGTAAGTAGCCATGAACCTCCAAGTAGGTCTTGGCAGGTAGCACATGAGAAGAAGACCTCAGCACATGCGAGGATCTTCAATGCGCATATAGCGACGGCTTCGATTGCACATTTGCACACTATTCTCAGGGCCGTCATCCCACAGGCTACACGCAAGCTTGTGCTTTCGTGCTGAGGCTTTCGCCAGTCGCTTCAACTGCCAGCCCTGCCGTTGACCGACGAAGCCTTTCAGGCTGGAAAGCTTGAGCGGCATGAACTCGCATTAAATCGCCGGGATGTTCGCTATATGGATGTGCGAAACACCAAACCATACTTCGTCGCCAATTCCCGACCGTCTACACTGTTTTGCAATGTTTACGCTGTCTTTTTCCGGATGTTAAACGCCAAACCATGGTACCCGACTATCTGCACTGTCTACACTTCATTGTCTCGATGCTGCGGGCACTTGTGTTGATTGCCATGCCGCATACAGTGGTCACTTGGGCAGCCGGTCAGAGCACGCAGTAGAGGCACTCGCGAGCGGAAGCCGCCACCGGCCATGGATCATGACGGTGCTGGGCTTAACTTCCTGGTCCTTCGTAAGGAGCTGAGCATAAGGGTAAGCAATGTCCCCATGGCAGTCCCTGAAAGCCTTCAGAAGGGAGCTAGTAAGTCAAGACGGGCATTCTTGACCGTGACCGAGCAGCTGGTTGGGAAGGGTACAGTATGTGTTGACTGATGAACTTGGGCCATGGGTGTCAACTACCAGCATATCCGAGTCCCAAACCGCAACTATTCGGATAACCCTAAACCCTAAACCCTAAACCCTAAACCCTAAACCCTAAACCCTAAACCCTAAATAAACCCTAAACCCTAAACCCTAAACCCTAAACCCTAAACCCTAAACCCTAAACCCTAAACCCTAAACCCTAAACCCTAAACCCTAAACCCTAAACCCTAAACCCTAAACCCTAAACCCTAAACCCTAAACCCCATCCCCAACTAGCTGCTCCCAAGTGAGGCCATGACTGCGACTGTGGGATGCTGCCTCGGATGGATGCATTAGCCCAAAAAAGGGAAGTGCTGCAGGCTTCCGCTTCCTCTAGTACTAGAGTAGGGTTTGGGGTTTAGGGTTTAGGGTTTAGGGTTTAGGGTGTAGGGTTTAGGGTTTAGGGTTTAGGGTTTAGGGTTTAGGGTTTAGGGTAACCTTGAACCTTGTTGGGGTAGCATAATCCCCTTCCAATCCCAAAGGTTAAGCTTTAATTCCAACCTTGTTGGGGTAGCATAATCCCCTTCTCATCCCAAAGGCTAACCTTTAACTCCACCAGGTTACTGGACAACTAAGGCTTCCTGAGCCTCCAGAAAACACAATGGGGGAGTTTCCGAAAACAGGGCTACCCTTTTTGGGGGGGGGGGGGGGTCCCTTGAAGGGGATTCTATTCTATTTGGGGTTATACAAGGGGTACCCCCCATGTTGGGGAAATACCCACATAGAGCGTCGCTGCGAATTGACGGTTGGTGACTGGTTCGATGATCTTCAGATCTCTAGTTCCGCAGCAGAGAGAGGTTTGGGAAGTTTTCACTCATAGTGAGATCATGGGTGTCGGCATGGGCAGAACACTGCCAGCATGGCATGTTTTGTTTCTGAGTTTAGATAGGCGAGGCAACATTGTTCACCGGGCCTGCGACACATCGCAACAGAAAACGTTGGCAACTTTCAAGATATCCTCGGCATTGCACAGATGTGCAGGGCACAGATGTGCAGGGCACAGACTCGGGTCTGGTGCTGGCTTGGAGAGCTTTAAGTTCAAGTTTTTTTCAGGGCTCCATGGCAGCCACCCTCTGCGCGTGTCATCGAGAAGCTTCTCCGGCTAGACGCTCGGCCGTCATCTGCGGAGAGTACATCCGCAGCAATCTCGCCCCTCGACAGCTACGGTGCTGTAGCACGGGTAATATGCCAGTAGAATCCAGGAACAAGACAGATGAAGGATCACAGTGGTAGCACTTGCGAAGCCGTCCTGATGCCATGCTTGTTGAGTACGCAACCCCAAGCTCTCCGAGTGTTTCATCAATCTGTTTAGACTGGAATGTGCTCTTTCACATAGACCTACCTACAAGCCCAGTTGTGACCACAACTAGCGTGCAAGTGGATGTAATCACTCCGCATGAGGCTACACAAAGATCAGATGTATATTACGTTGTGCGCAGGGAGGAGAAATATTCACGGAGGCCTGCCTCACCTCCCAAGCCATGGCGTTACTGTTCCCGATTCTGCTTGCGTCCCTGCGCGCGATCGGTGTCGCTGTGACCGTCATCTTTGCCGGGATTCTGGCGACCCGGTTCAAGGTTCTGACGCCACAGGAGCACAGTTGCATGTCAAAGCTTTCCATGAAAGTGGCCATGCCAGCCCTGGTATTTTCGCGTATCCTCTACTGCAACCAGTGCGCCGACCGGGAAGACTGCCCCCGCTGTGCTCCCTTCTCCGAGATCATCTCGTCCAGCTGGATTCTGTTTCTGCTGCCTTTGGTGGTGGTGGCGCTTGGAACATCTCTGGGCAGAGCAGTGGCAGCCTGGCGGGAATAAGGGAGACTGACTCGGCGAGGGCATGCCATGCAGCTTCATTAGAGCCTACCTCCAGTTTACGAGTTTAGTGAGTTTAGTGTCAAGGGGTCAAGGAGAGTCTTGGCACATAGTAGCAGAACTGTTTACTGCTGGACTGGCGCGCGCACTGAGGCAGAACTTGCACCTTCGAACTTTAGGCGCGGGGCCATCTGTGCGGTGGCCTTTGGAAACTCCACCGGCATGCCAGTAGTGCTACTGACAGTGGTGAGTCAATCCATGACCGCTTTCGGAAATGGCCCTATTGGGCACACCGATCCCCTGCTTCATCTTCCGGCATATCTTATGCTTTATCCTGTTTTACAGTGGGGTATCGGTACCTGGCTGCTGACCCCTACTGCGGACGAAGAGATCACGCTGACGATCCCTCCGCCCTCCAAGTGTGGGCTAAAAGAGCCCAGAATTCGGGGAATATGGTGCGGCGGAGAAGATGCCTTTCCTTTGGGGCCGTGCAGGCAGGCCCTTCAGCACGCCTTGGTGCCGCCGGTAGTGGCAGCCCTGGCTGGGCTACTTGTAGCCCTTTCCCCGTTTCGAGGTATTCTGGTGGACCTGGCCGGCCAAGCCAATGACGCCCCGCTTGAATGGCTGTATGATGGGATCTTCAAGCTGGGGGATGCCGCTGTGCCTCTGAACTTACTGCTTTTGGGAAGCTCCTTATCCCAAGGCGCTGACCTCGAAGCCCTGCCACTCAGGGTGGGTATGGCCATCACCTTCTGCAAAATGGTTGTGATGCCGCTCTTGATGAGCTTCATCGTGTATGGGTTGATACGGCTTGTGGAAAGGAAGGATCCAGCCATGTGGCTCGTCGCCTTGATTGTGACCTGCACGCCCACTGCAAACAATGTGGGGATCATGGCCCACTTGGGTGGGCAAAGTGTCGAGTCAATGGCTACGGCGATTTTCATACAGTATATCTTTGCACCCATGCTCATAGCTATGTCACTGACCTACTTCATGTGGCTGTTATCTTGCGAATGGTATTTGCCGACGTCCTCGGTTTAGGCGAGCTTGTGCGACTGCACCAAAGGTGCAGACATCAAGTTCCTTCCCTCATTTCACTTCTCTAAGGTGACAACAGAGCTTCGGTCAAGCGAGCTCCCTCCCTTGCATTGCGGCTTCGCGATGGACAAAGTGTGTGATAGCTTGTTGCCGCAAGCTTGCGCCGACGGTTGACTTACGTTTTGCTGTTTGGCGAGTCTACGTACTACGTACTCGTACGTGCTTCGAGCTTCTCGCACGATGTGCATGAGTTATTTTGGGGATGGCTCTTGCCAAGTTGCCCTTTCTGATTCTTCTACGTCCCCTTCTGGCTCAAACCGATTCAGCAGGTCTTCGACACAGTTCTTGAGACACGTGTCACACGCCTCATGCAGCAGCATCAACATGCAAAGCCGCAGGCCAGTGGCCTGAAGACGTGTGCAAATCGTGCGGTCAACGTGTCCTCCCTGTGTCACGATGTCTGTGTGCCGCACGAACGACAATGATCCGCGGCTGCTGGGGCGCAGAAGCATCGGCGGCCACCAGCAGCTGCAACAGAAGCTCCGCTTGGAGGTGTCCTGTAATTACCGTGTAATAGCGTCGCAAAGAGCCCATATGCAGATGTGCAAAAGCATGATGATTTAGCCCTTGCAGGCTCTGCAAGCGCCAGGCAAGGCGGCGCGGGAGAAGGTCGCAAGTGAGGCCCGGGCTTGTGGTTTCATTGCGTGCGTTCCATGAAGCAGAATGAAGCATGATGTGGCCTGAAGGGGCACGCAAAGCGCCCCACCTGCAAGCAGGCCGTGGGCCCCGGCTGGGCCACCGTGCTCCAGACAGCACGCGTCCGCGCGAGCACATCGAAAGATGCCCAAATCCTGCAGACCCTGGAGGAGGGCAAGATGGTAAAGGTGCAAGAGGTGCGCAAGAGGCGCGCTCTGATTGCGGAGCCGCTGGCCGGCTGGGTGATGCTGGAGAAGCTGCGCCAGGACCCTTGGCAGCGACTGGGACCAGAGAAGACCTCGGCCACTTCGTGGGCGCAAGAGTCGGTGCTGGCACGCCTCCGAACCGCTCCACCCGAGCCATCCGTGGTGGAAGACCCATCAGGCGGCATCTGTCGAAATTGTGTAGGAGCAATCGACAAGCACCTCAGTGCACATGGAAGCGTCTGCGCACATTGTAGCAGCTTTGAATAATGTAGCACTGCAAGGGGCACTGCAAGGGGGGGAAAAAACACGGGTGGGGTGCTGTCTCTCCCTTTGCTCGTGGATGTCAGCAGGAGGCGAAGGCTCCAAGATGCAGAGCGATAGCCTGGAGAGCGCCTGCCTCAAGGTTTATCCGATAGTGAATTCAGCTGATACCGCGTCGGAGGTATGTGCCTGCGCCGCGCGCTTTCTGAGGCGCCACTGTCCCAACAGCCGGAGAAGAGGCCGCAACCCCTACGCTCAAGCTTCCTTCAAAGAGCACCTCAACCTCTGCAACACGGTTGCAACAGGCAATGGCGGCTGTTAATGTGTTGTTCATGGTTTGTTTGCAGATAGTCAGCTGCTGGCTTCCTCCCTTATGGGTTGCCTGGCCTTTGGGCTCGTTGGTTTCTTTTGGCCTGGCTCCGCCACTTTCATTGCAATGCGTTGCAAGAACTCCCAAGTTTATTCCACAATGGCATGTTTCAAGGTCGCTGACGAGAGCAGCGGAATCTCAAAGAATACCCGGTCAGCCATTTGGATGGAAGGAGATCGCTTGCTCAAGGCCGCGGTTCCGAGTCCAGATGCGGGCGGCTAGGTATGGGGGTTTTCGAGGGCCTTCTATTCTATTTGGAGTATAAAAGGAGTACCCCCATTTTGGGAAATGCCCGTATAGATAAAGATGAGGGTTCTTCGCAGGGCAGTGGAACCATGTGGTGGAATTCTGAGAGTTTTCCAGTCACGCCAGGTGTCGTCGGTCTGGTGGTTGGCAGCAATTGCTGGGATCTGTCTCGCTGTCCTCATGGGAACTCCTGGCCCCTTGGTCAGCAGAGTAGTAGCAGGAGTACTAGTTGGAGTAGGAGTAGGAGTAGTAGTAGTAGTAGTAGTAGTAGTAGTAGTAGTAGTAGTAGTAGTAGTAGTAGTAGTAGTAGTAGTAGTAGTAGTAGTAGTAGTGGTAGTAAAGGAGGCAAGGATATGCAAAGATGTTGGACGTTTCAGTTGTCATGCCACACGCAGCCACGCAAAAAAAATGCTGATGGCGATGTCGTCTTGCTGTACCAAAAGCCCCCCAAAAATTGCGCCTGGACATGCTCAAAAATCGATGATGCGGGCAAAACATAGCAGGTATTGCGTAGTGGGAGGTGGGTGGACGGCGGACGAGGACGGAGGAGGAGGAGGTTGCGGTAGCTAGCAGCGCGGTTTCTGAAGTTATCATGCCGAAACGACCTAGTCGAACAACGGCAAAAAAGCATGTGTCAGCAGCTGTTGTTCACACGGGACGCCCTTGGGGCTTCGGGGTCGGCGTCGCTCCTGAGGCATCTCCATCCTCGCGACTTCGATCATTATCTGGGGAGCTCTTTACCACAAACTGCAGCCTCGCTGGCTGAAGGCCAGGTCGAAGTCTTTCTGCATGGAGCGACCTCGTGCTCCTAGCTAGGGGGTTCAAGGGATCCTGTTTGCAAAGCGCGCAGCCAGGGTTGTTGATCAATGTCCCCACTCGTTGTTTTTTCCAAACGTTTCCTGGCTCGGCCTGGTGCAGGCAGAGGCCCGCGGTAGCTGCAAAGCAGCTGCGCCTACTGTCCAAGAGGAGTCTGTTGGCTTCATGACACCTGTGGTCCAGGAGGACGGGCGTTGGGACGACTGTAGGGTTGCGGTGGAGCTTTCGCTAGCTGCTGAGGCCACATATCGGGTGTGGGAAGCTTCCAGTTTTAGGAAAGAGCAGCGCACCATGAACAGGATGGGCAAATGCCGGCGCCTGACGACGAGGCTGGGGAGGCCGGCAGCTTCCGTTTGCTCAGGGTGTTTGCTACTACTTCGCTGGCATGGTCACTGAACTTAAGCCCAACTCCTCGAACAGTGATCCTGCAGAACCAGATACACTCAGTTGGCATGACAAGTCACCAAAGCCAGCTCCTTTGGAGCTGCCGGGAGGTTGTGTTTACAGCCTTCTTGTTTTGGGGCAAATAGGACTTTTGGGGCTTAGTCCCTGTTATCTCAAGGATGTAAGGTGTCACCAGAGGGCGGAGTGACGGTGGGAGTCCGCACCCCGCACCTTGGGTTGCAGGCACGAGGCGATGCCTTGCATGTGGTGGGGGCTTACGGGGGGGGGGGGGGGGTGGGTGCGATTGTGCGGCTGGAGGTGCGGGGTCCTCCCGCCCCCGCTTGAGGCCCCAACGCCTTGTTTTTCACTTTCTTTTTTTTTTTGGGGGGGGGGGGGGGGGGGGGATCTTCAACTTATGTTGACACACAACCTTGTACATGCTTAACTCGCCGCCTGCTGACCTTGCTTCATCTGCCCTGCTGACCCGTGTCTGTGCTTCCAGTGCTGCACTTTGCCTGAGGCGCTTCCCCAACCAGCCGTGCAACCCGTCCCTGTTGTCGAGTACGAGTCTGTTGAGTCCAGCGCGCCTGCTGTTGCGGAGGAGGCGCCACGAATGTTGGGAGTGCTTCCGGTAACGTGTTTGCTCTGAGCATGGAGTTGCCAGCCACACTCAAGGCGTCTCAAACATTTGGCTGCGAGTCAAAAGTCTAGGTATGTAACTGGCCCCCGGGCGTCTTTCCGCGACATAGGGCTTGTAACAAAGCCATTCTCGTTGCGACAAGCGTGTCCGCGACAAGCCTCCGCGACAAGCCAAAAATTGGGCGCTCGGTTTCAAGACCAACGCGCGAAACAGCCGCGACAAACCCCAAGTGGGCGCGACATACGTATGTAACACAGGTGGGGGGCGGGACACCGCGACATACCCCTATTTAGACCCACAGCCATTTAAAGAGGCAAAAGGCGCTGTGCTCTGGCGAAGCATGTGCTCCAGGTCGGGCAGATGCCCCCCGACGACGAAGCTGCTGAGGCCCGGTCACCTTATTGACTCCCAAGAGCCCCTACAATACGAGCCACGATATTGCTCCGCAACATCCCTCTCGTCCTCTTGTTTCTGTTGTCTAGTTCGGCACCTGCGAGCATCAGGGGCCTCGGCTGGGGGGACGATGCTCACCTGCCTCGGGATCCCCAAAAGCCACAGCCAGCTTGAGATTCGCTGCGTAAAGAGCACGCATGTTCCGGGCGCCCTCTGAATAAGGCGCCGCGGGTGTCGATGATGCTCGCTTCTAAGGAGGGTTCGAGCTAGAAACCACGGAGAAACACACAGCAATTTTCCCATGTTTTCGAACTTGTGGCTGATGATGCGCTCATGATGCCTTCTTGGTGCTTCTGGTGACACCCTATAGCCAGGGGTTTAGGTTTTAGACCTAGAGGTTTTAGGTTTTCGGTTTGGTCTGGGGTTTGTTCTTGAGGGGCTCGGGTTTTCAGTGTTTTGGGCTTGAGGGTCTGGGGTCTAGGCTTGAAGGGATTCGATTTTTGGGACTCGGGGCCTGTGTTTTTCAGCGTCTATAGGGGCTTGAGTGGCTTCGGGTTGGGTGTTGAGGGGCGCAAGTGCAAAGTTTAGGGTTGAGATCTTGAAGATCCTGAAGGGCTAGGGTTTGGGACTCGAGGAACTTTGGGCTTAGATTTTAAGGGGCTTGGAGACAAACCTCTTGCCAAGAAGTCCCGGCCGGCCCCACCCCCCAGAAACGCTGGAGAACCTCTTAGGTCAAACTTTACGCGCCACGATTCTCTCCACTTTGACTACACCTACAACCCCGCGTCACGCCAAGAAGCAAGGGCATCATGAAACGCACGAAGCCAATGATATTTACGACGGTTGCCCGCGGAGGGGGTGTAAAACATCGCAGCCATCGGTTTGCATTGTTCGGGTTGGGCTCGGCGCCGCCCGAGAAGCCAACATCACAGGTGCCGCTGACACGCTGATGCGTTCTTCCTGGGGCGGCGGTTAGTAAAAAACCGTCAAGCTCCAGAAAAGCAGCGTGTTGGGGAGGCTCTTCGGCTCCCGGATGCTCAATGATGCAGGGGCTCGCGCTATGGCATCATGAGCATCATCGGCATGCCCCCGGGAGCCGGAAGCCTAAACCCTAAACCCTATAGAACGTGGCTCACAGTCGTCCATGGTGACCTGAGAAAAGTGCTGCAAAGTCAGTCGACCAGTGGGCGGCGTGAGCCCATCCGATTTCTATGGCGAAAGATGTCCACAATGCTCGTCACCCTTCGTGTTCTGTACAGTACAGGGCCGGCTTCTCTTTCGCGTCTTAAATTTTCGATGATAGGAACAGTAGAAACAAGATCATGTCACTTCTTGCAAGAGAAGTAGGACCAAAGGGAGTATGATAAGTAAGAAGAGTTTTTGGCGCTGCTAGGAGGACGACATCACTTCCGAGATGGGAGAGGCCCGGCCATGGGACTGCCTTGCTTCATGGCTTGGCCGCTATGCCTCAAGATTCGTGATCCTCCTTGTGAAGGGAGCTTTAGGGTTTAGAGTTTAGGGTTTCGGGTAATTTAGGGTTTAGGGTTTAGGGTTTAGGGAGCTGAGTTGGTTTGGCAGGGGCATGCGGCATGCCTATACAGCATATAGGCATGTCATCGGGGCAGTCTTGTTGAAGCTCTTCCTTGCAGGGACTCTGCGGCGGCCAATGGCATGAAGAGCAAGCAGACAATCTTGGAGGAGGAGCTTCCCAGCCATACACATGCAAGACAGCCTGCGTAGGCACGTTTCGCATTTGCCCCTAAAAAGGAAGCTTTGGGTCCGACGCCTCTGCACAATCCTTTCCAACCCTGGTCCAGCCCTGTCCAGGATTTGGCCTTGGTGGTCTTGTGGTGGCACAAGGCCCGGCTTAGAACTCAGATCATGAGACCATAGCAGGAATGGGCAGGCAGGCACAGGCTGAATAGGGGGCCTCTTTAAACGAGCTTGCGCATCTTGTGCCCAGAGACTTAGAGGCCGTTGATTAAACCCACCCTGAGTCGAGCAGCAGGAATCAGATTGGGGATCCCGTCTGCCAGCTGCATCGCGATGCTTGGTGCTGGCGCAGGCGCCTTGCAAGACGTCAGTGATATGTGCTTGTCAGTGCTTGAAGGATATGTGCCTGCAGAAAGATGCGACAAGTATCTGAAGCGCATATTGCTCTTCCAGTCCAGCGCTGCAGATCCTCACCATAATAATCACTCGTCTTCGCACTCCCGGCAGCGAATCGCATGTAGATTTCCAGGCGGTAGCCTATTGCCTGAGGCGCAAAGGGCGTGCTGGGCCCTTCTTCAGCAGGAGCCTGCCCCCGCTTGACATTGTGGGGAAAGGACCGAGCGAAGCCGGGCATCCATAATTGCCAGCATCGTGAATCTGAGTCATTTGCATGGTGTCCACTTTGAGTGTGAAGAGTTGGGGTTCGGTGCATACTCCACCATGCGGGTGAGCGTCCTCCCAAGCTTGTTGATGGTGAAGGATTGCTGCAGCCTGCGCCACACCTGCTTCTCGGTGATCGTGTCACTCGGCATCTACAAGCCCCACATGCGCCTTTGCTTGCGGGCGGGGTGATTGCATTTTGAGTGGACTCCGTTCGGCTTTGCAGGCGAGGCGCTGATGACAGCTGAGTGCCCTCCGCGAAAAGATGCGGGCGTGTAGGTCTGGGTCAGTTTCTCTTTGATTCACTCACATGGTGAGGGATCTTGGATCCCAGTGAAAGCCCAGTCCCAAACCTTAGATTTAGGACGGGGCCTAGGGGCCTAACCTTGCCACTCATTCTCCACTCCCGGTCTCCTCCTCTCCCCACCCGGTTTCCTGGCCGGGTCGCGGGAACCAACAGAACCTCCCCACCTCCCCCCCCCCCCCC